CACAATGAAGAAGTAAAAGTGATTGGTTTTTTTTAACTGGAAGTTACTTTATTTTTCTATGTATATATTTAATTATGAACTGACATTAATTATTGGATTATCCCAGGATCAGATGATTTATTCAGTAAGCATTTATATTAATCATCCAACGCATTTTTTGCTCAAATAAAAAACAAAAGATACAACAAAAATGTTTTATGATTTAGAAAATATCCTGCTTCGTGTATCACACACGGATGTCAGACGCCATGCGTGGACTGTGATGTTGACGGGGCTTTTCATGATGCGCCGTTCGCGTGTACAGAAATATTAATTTTTATAGTCTTAGTTATATATCATATAATAGAGAAAATTTGCAATAAAATTCTCCGACTGATTTTGTTTTAAAATTTCAAAACAGAATGGAATAAACATAAACAAAGTAAAAGATTTAGTTTGTTTTCTTTATTATTTTAAGTCAATTGAAGGAGTAGATGCCAATTCCTCCTCTTTTCATCTATGTACAGACTCTCTGGATCAATGTTTTTGAAATTTCAAGCCTGGTCTGAGTCAAGGCTTGTTGTTATGAGTATCTTACTTATGATTTGGTTAAGAATTCATTAAAAACTATGATATTTATTCCATAGCTTGATATTATAGGTATCTTAAAGATGATTTGGTCACGACTTTGAGATTTATTCCAAATTGTTTCTGTTTGTAGGATTAGAGCTAAACCATTCAATAAAGTCTACATCCGAAGGTCGCCCTGGCTGCCTATTAGTGACGCCTCTCCATGGGTGTTTTTCAAGGAACCCAGTACCTTTCTAGTAAGGTTGGATGTCTCTGCTTTCCATATATACTAACATTGTCATACTTTTATTGGAAATAACCACCCGATAAATACTATTGTGAGAAAGTATCTTTAATTAAATTAGCTTAATACATCAGCAGACTTGAGTTTTAAGGGCAAAGATTTTCAAAAGGGGTACAGAGATTTACGAAAGATAGAGCTGAAGATATATGAGAACGCACCTTAGCCCCAGCAATTAAACAGTATCAGTATACATGTACTTACTTCCCTGCAATCTGATTGGTCAAGATTATAATGTCATGGCCAGCGTATGCATGTTCGCGGCGCTTAACACACAATTAATATTCAAAACGTATTATGCCTGACAAAAAAGAATTCGATTTAAAATACTAATTTTCTTTATTTTGAAAAACGGATAAACGTGAAAATGAATTTTATTTAAGATAAAGCAGGGGTGCAGCGAAAAAATAATGTGTATGCTGTAATCTGAGTAAACGTAAGTGCCAAAAAAAAAAAAGAATTCTATTTTAAAATTTTTCTTTAAATACTTGGAAATATACTATCAGAGCGTACAGTAATGCTTAAAGATACAATATGGGAGATTTTTATAAGGAGAAGAATATATTGAAAATTTCAGTCAAATTACTTTATTCTGAACATAGTTATCACCAGTGTAATTTTTGACTAGAAATGGGATTGAATTCCATCTTCACCGATTCTTAGTATGACCGATCGTTTGATTGACAGGCGTTAACTCCACCTACATAATCTCTGCTGTCTTTTGTCTGCTGTCATCATATCCGAATTTTTGTTTTACCTTTTGGGATTTTTATAACAATTGGACAAAATGAGTGAGAGGGTAAATTTTCATTCTTACTTGATTTGGGCATGCATTAAATCAATTGAATGTAGGACATAATATTATAATACAATTATGATAAATATATAGGTATACACCAGTGGCGTCGTGCCTATTGCAGTATTGGGGAAATAAAAATATTTTTATTGATATTATTAAGACAGAAGACCTGTCCGTCTGTAGTAGTCATCACACGGTCTCTCAGGATTTGTATAATTTGTCATTATCTGTGTTTAGTTTATTGCACTTTAAATAGTTTAGATGTCATTTGTTAAGGCATCGCTCAACCGCGGCCTCGCTTCGCACACTCTATCATTTAGCCTCGATCCGGGAGTATGACGTCAACGTAACGGTTAATCTCCGCTCACGACGCCATTTAAAATTAAATCAGTCAACGAAATCCCGTTTAAATCCAAGCTAAATCCAAGCCATCCGTGGGTCTGCAGAGTTGATTTTGTGCTTGTTGTGTAGACGTCCTGGGTCTAAAAGTAGCCTATACTTTATAAGACTATTGGGAATACAAAAATGTATATACATTATTATGTTTTTAGTTATGTGAACGAATACAGAACAAGTAAGCAATCCCTGCTTCTTGCAAGACACCCATCACTAATAGTTGAAATATTGTAGGGTTGGAACATTGAGGGAGTAGACACTTCATGTAATGCGCTATGGGGAAAATTTAGCCCGAAGAGTACCGTTCCAGGCCAACGTCTTAGCCAGGCCACCCGTCCTGCGCCACTGACAAGGAGAAATTTTCCCTAGTAACATCGACACCTGGTCAATGAACCAGTGCCATACCAACTGATTCACCGATGTTCTTTTAACACAGAAAGATTTTCAAACATTATTTTTTTTTTTTTTTTTTTTTTGCACGAAACTAAAATTAATATTTCGACCGGATTAAATCATGTCATGCATAGCCAATACTGAATTAAAGCCTAAGGTCCAGTAAAACGGTGTGTTCCCACTTAGCCGGCAGACTGTTAATCCTTTGATTGATCTTAAAACTATAGTCTGTTTAAAAGTAGTCACTCAAGAGCTGTTCACTAGTGTTCAGCGTTAATGAGCTCTTAATCCCTCTTAATAAAATTTATTAACCAACTAATTAATGACATTTTGAACACAGTTCATGCCGGCGTTATGATTTCAAACATGAATTAAATTCACTATATTAATATAAATAGATGGTCGATCTGTGTCGAAATTATATTTATTTTAAAATGGCAAACGTTCAGGTTAATATAAGTTGAATAAAATGACAGCATGCCATCCTAATATTTACAAGTTCATTAACTTAATAAAACAAGAACAATCCTATGTCGAAATCACCATTTCACAGATATTATTTGGTGGTACCAAAAGGCCTCGAGTTAAGAAATATCGACAACTTGATACAAGAATTGAACATTTGAAAACACAGTTATTAAATGGCTCTTTAAGTGTAAATCGGTATGGAACAAACATTTCCTATTTAGTGGGGCTGTAAAATGATTGTTATGTTGTAAGGCATTTATTTATAAATCATATAATGCTATTTAATAAAAGTTAAATGTGTAAATTGTAATGCATTTTTATATGTGTAAATCATTTAATGTTATTTAACAAATATTAAATTTGTTAAAATCAATATATTTTTATATGTGTAAGCTATTTAATGTTATTTAATAAAAGTTAAATTTGTTAAAATCAATACAGTTTTGATCTTAAAAAAGATATGGACTATAGTTTATAACACCATTGTTCTAGGATTAACTCTGGATTAGCGGCAAAATTTGACATCAAAGTCTGCCGGCTAAGTGGGAACACCCCATATATTGACACACGGCACACGGATATATATTCGGGAAAACCGAATTGAGTATGAATAGACAATTTCACCGCTTCATTGATTTTATAGGCCATTTGAAATGGGTGCAGTATTCTTAGTATATCCCAGGTTCAAGGTCGATCAAGCAATCAGAACCGGATCCATTTCTTTTATAGTATTTAATATAGAGACGAATCAAAGAAAGAAATAATTACATTAATTCAATTAACAGTAACGCACCCCAATCCCCACCCCCGCAAGCGCACCCTAAGTCGATATCCGTTCCCGTGACATTGCCGAGCTCACGGGCGATCGTTTCCAGCAATATGGGGGCAATTAAAAATCCCTTATGTATTAGGCTTAAGGATCTATAGTGTACCGTGTTGTCTATATATATATATATATATATATATATATATATATAATAATAATAATAATAATACAATATAATTTTACACAGTATAACTATATTATGAGTGTTGATCGTTGACCCATAATAATACCTCGATACAACTTATTTTTATATACATAATACTCAACTTATGGTCGAGGGCAATGTTACGAAGGCTCTAATAAATCTGATATTTTTATATATAATCTATTGTCAAGTTAATCTATATTTCTACGTTTGCTGTATGGTTAATGTTTAATTATTTATATAAATTATAACATCAGAAGACGCTCAATTAAAGAGCAGACTATTTGATGTATGTATCACAATGAAGAAGTAAAAGTGATTGGTTTTTTTTAACTGGAAGTTACTTTATTTTTCTATGTATATATTTAATTATGTACTGACATTAATTATTGGATTATCCCAAGATCAGATGATTTATTCAGTAAGCATTTATATTAATCATCGATCGCATTTTTTGCCCAAATAAAGAACAAAAGATACAACAAAAATGTTTTATGATTTAGAAAATATCCTGCTTCGTGTATCACACCCGGATGTCAGACGCCATGCGTGGACTGTGATGTTGACGGGGCTTTTCATGATGCGCGGTTCGCGTGTACAGAAATATTAATTTTTATAGTCTTAGTTATATATCATATAATAGAGAAAATTTGCAATAGAATTCTCCGACTGATTTTGTTTAAAAATTTCAAAACAGAATGGAAAAAACATAAACAAAGTAAAAGATTTAGTTTGTTTTCTTTATTATTTTAAGTCAATTGAAGGAGTAGATGCCAATTCCTCCTCTTTTCATCTATGTACAGACTCTCTGGATCAATGTTTTTGAAATTTCAAGCCTGGTCTGAGTCAAGGCTTGATGTTATGAGTATCTTACTTATGATTTGGTTAAGAATTCATTAAAAACTATGATATTTATTCCATAGCTTGATATTATAGGTATCTTACAGATGATTTGGTCACGACTTTGAGATTTATTCCAAATTGTTTCTGTTTGTAGGATTAGAGCTAAACCATTCAATAAAGTCGTATCTAGATTTGTACAAAATGCATCAAACATTGATTGAAATGAAATAGGTTTAACGATCTAGCTTTCGGCCGTGACGTTGAAATAGGAAGTCCTTACCTTACATGTGTACTCAGCTACAATAAACATCCAACTAAATATTGGCTTTTTAAAGGTGTTTGATTTGCAGATATAGGATTTTCCAAAACAAAATCTCAACAGGGTTTTAAATTTCTTTTAATCCTATTACAGACCACTTATCGGGTTCTTCATGATCATTGTAGATATAAGATAAATAAAACATATTCCGTGAATTCTTTCACGACGTCTGATCTCGTGTAGCTTGGTTGTTTACTGGGTTATATTTAGACGATGTGCATGATTGCACAGTATTATAAAGCGACAAAGAATGTAGATCTCTCCCACTTGAACGATATGGGGCATGTAAACATTTTTAACATAGCCTTTTAACTAAAGAAAACTGCTGTACACTAGTATACTAGTACACCAATATCCTGGCATCCACCTACACCCATCTGGGGCGATGAGGTAATTTGTGTAGTATAATTGGCTAAATGCCGTAGGGTGACCCACCATAAATAAATATCTCCATATATCTCGACAATAACGCCACAATATTTATATATATGCCAAGCCTCAAATCAGTTTCACACAATTATCGTCACTAAATAAACGATCATGTTGTAGTTAATAAGCTATGACCATTAATCATCTATAAATAATAGACTGAAAACTGGTTCCAAGAGTCGTCCATAACATCCAGACACTTTTGAGTAAAAGATAGGTTACGTGCCCTTGTTTTGAAATTAGTTTGGCTTAACCAGTCTATCGACCAGTCTGTCTGATTGACAGGTCGGGATAATCAAGACTACTTTTTTACGAAACATAACAGAAAGCTAAAACAAGAAATTGAATTTAGAAATAAGCACGTTAGGTAGCTCAACAATCGTTTTAAGAAGCTTGTAAAAGTAAAATGAAACTACTGCTAGTATCATGTTCCTGTCTAACCCGAGTGAGAGAGAGAGAGAGAAATGGGGTTTAACGTCCACTCGACACAACTAGGTCATTTCGGGACTAACATATGGTTTAATTTTATTTCAGTAATTCGCTTGCGCATAGGGGTCTTTAGCAGTGGGGGGAAACCGGAGGACCCGGAGAAAACCCACGAGGTTGGACAGGCGACCCTACTCCTTGTCACGTACAACCGGGGATTCGAAAGCACGCCAGTCGACTCAATGACAGACTTTATGATACAGCGCGTGCACGCTAACCATTCAGCCATCCAATCCCCCCTAACCCGAGTGATTCAGAGATATCATTTGTACCAAACCAAAACATGCCGCTCTTAACGGTACAGTTAATGATAAAGCGATTTAAAAAATGAAACGAACGTAATTTCTAAATCTGCTGTAATAACCAAGAAGCTTAATTTTACTGCTATTCAAAATAGTCAACAATAAATTTTTTACGGCTGTAATAGTTGATAGATTTGTAGAGAATTGCACGTGCCATGGCTATTTATAGTATCATACTGCCAGAAAGTTGGTCTCGGCACGGCGAATGTGCACGCTTCAGTGGTAGTCTCGAACTATCAGCGGTGGACTGTATTTCTGTGAGTACATGGGTCACCCTATAAATGGGTCAAGTTTATATAACATCCCTTCCATCTAGGATGACGTAGACGACTGGGCTGTATGGGTGGCAAACTGGGTAAAGTTTAACGTCCGCTTCCATCTAGGGTGAAGTAGCAGACTTTGCTGTGTGGGTTGGTGAATGGTTTAAGTTTAACGTCCGCCTCCATCTAGGGCGCTTCCATTTAGCCACAACCTTTCACCGCATAACATGCTATAAATATAGGTTAACTGTTAATTTGATCCAATGACATGTGTAACCTTCATAATAATGAGACCGTAGCCGTAACAATACTGCAAGCAATTGGATGGGCATTCTGAACATCTGAGACACGCTACCTGCGGAGAAGTATCTCATACACAGTCAATAGCCATGATATCCATATCACGTGATCTACACATCACAGGTCATGACATTGACGTCAATGGGTCATGAGGTCAACAACACGTTACATTGTAAACAATAGGTTTATCTTCAGCATTGTTTCCTTTGCACCCATAAAGACTATATAATTCGTCCAGTCCCAACATGTTCTCTCTACTTCCAATGATTTTTCACAAAAATAACATCTACAACTCATAGAATTGACAACGTCTGCGAATGGTTGTTCATAGAGGCTTCCATCGTGGCACTATTTTGTGCGTCGGTCGTGTCTATTTCAGATATACACAATCAATTCTGTTGATGTTTTTAGCGTTGGGATTGACTAATAGTTAATTTAATTCAGTTCTAAAACAAATATTTTAAACTGTAACGCAAATTTAGAAAATAGACAAATTCTGGCTGGGATTACTGTGCAAAATGGCCATTCACTGTATACGTGCGAAAAAAAAAGCTAGCCACCAATTAATTTTCGTACGTTAGTTACGTAGGTTGGATAGGTATACATATTACTATGGAAGACCAAACAGTTCTTTAATCAGTGTTCTTAATTCTTAGTTCTTAATTCATAGTCCTTAAATCTTATTTCTTCATTTTTTGTCGTATTCCGTCATTTGTACACTAAAATTAATACGTGTATCCTAAAATCAATGTTTTACAAATCAGTCATTTGTCATATCAGATTTGTAAATTGTATTTTTGTTTAACTTAAAGAGGCATTATGGAAGATTAGATAAAGTGCTGGCGGTTCTCGCTATAATAGTTAAAACCTAGATAATGTAAAGGAAATTCGCTGAAAATTTCAGTCAAATTGATCCTCTCTGAACCGAGAATTTAGCGATTGAATTTTCGGCCTAGCCTCGGTCATCATTACTAAAGTCGGTACGATAAAAAAAACATAGTCCCGATCATCAATTTCATGATTTAATCATGAATGAAAGTTAAGCAGCAAATCGGATCCTAATAAGGGACCTCCGGCCGGGTAGGCTAGCCAATGTCTTACTCACATAGCAACCGTGGCTCTATACAGACAATGAAGCAAAAGCGAAACAACATGATAAATCGATGATCTGCGGTTATAAATTAGGTTCCGTATGAAATGAGACGATTTCCTGTGAGTCCCATACCGAATCTAACCACTAAATTTATGACCTACGTTTATAATTGGGGATCACGTGACTAAGTGGGTAAGACGCTGGCTCACTAGCCTGGAGGTCGGGTGTTCGACACCTGCATTGGCCGAGAAAGTTCATCCAGATTTTCCATCGTGGTTTCCACTTGTCAATGATGCAGTACGGAGGGCCTGACAAGAACAGCTGTCTAGTCGTTCGGATGGGACGAAAAACCGAGGTCCCGTGTACACATTGGCGTGCACGTAAAAGATCCCTTGTCAGTTGGAATTCGATAAGATTGGGCGGTAGTGTCGCTGCCCGGGCAAAATTTCCCTCATAGCACACTGTATGGCGTATGCCCGTCTTCATTAGCCCAGTATAGGAGCAGAACAGTAGGACGTTAAACCCTATTTCATTTACGTCTATAATTGTAAGGATCTGCCATACAAAAGTTTTTTTTTTTTAAATGGTCGTGATTTGCAAATCAAACATCCTGGCATTGATTTCACTGCTGAAAATCAAACTTAAAATACAATTTTCAAAAATATATATATATTTATTCAGTAATATAAATTAGCATTATAACATGTGTAAATAATCATGTGAGCCAGAGTCCTACCCACTTAGCCACCGAGGCCCCTAACATTTTATAAGAGAGAGAAATGGGGTTTAATGTCCACTTGACACACACTCTTTAATTTCAAGACTAACACATGGTTGAATTTTATCTAATATATTCACTTGTACATAGGATCCTTAGCTGCGAGAGGAAACCCACGAGGTTGGACAGGCGATCCTGCTTCTTGTCACGAATAATCGGTGAATCGAAATTACGCCACTGGACTCAAAGGCAGGCCTTGTGATTCAACGCACACGCGTTAAGCCACCCCCCAGCAATATATTATGACGTGTAGTTTTCCATCGTAGTTATAGGGTTTGGTCTTCCAGCGATGATTGTGTAAATAGACGGCTAAACGTCAAATATGTTGAAATATAAGCAGACATAATAATTTAAATAGATATTATTTACACGTCTTTTGTAAATACTGCATCAGCATTTTATTCTCGTTATCTTTAGGACGTATTGATGTCATGTTCTGTCTTATCTAATGCTAGGTTCTCATTGTCGTGCGATGCGTTACTACATATATAATTTTTCCCTATTGAGTCGACGATACGTTTCGATACGATCAACACGAATGCTACGACCGGCCCCAATATATGACCTGATATATAGAATCACCACGATTAAAATTACGATTTCAATCGCAGCACAAATCGTGATTGCAGGAACCTAGCATTACGAGTCGAAGAATTAAAACATTTTGCATGCAGAGGACTATCTGCTTCGCGAATAGCTCCCTGGCCTGATTGGCCGCCATATCCAAAATACTCTTCTATAACGCGTTTCTACTCTATTTCAAATCTTGCATAGACTCAAAGACTTAAAAAAAACTCTTCTATTTTATTAAATGAAAGCGGAATAATTACTTCTCAAAATTATCAAAATATACCGAGTGTTTTCGACTAAAGTCGTCGATTTTGGAATTAAAATGTTTAGTTATGGATTTAAGGTGCCAGAATATCACTTTCCCGTGGCAGCTGATTTAGGAATTAAAATGTTGGTCAACTAGTTTAGTGTTTGCTCTCAGGCGGAGTCAGTTGTAAGTTTAGTGAGGATTTAAAACAGATAAACGAAAATATCACTGTCCCGTGTTAGCTGACATACCGGCTTGCCATATAACAGTAGGAGAGAGAGAGAGAGAGAGAGAGAGAGAGAGAGAGAGAGAGAGAGAAAAATGGGTTTAACGTCCACTCGTCACAAACTAGGTCATTTCGGGACTAACATATGGTTTAATTTCATTTCAATAATTCGCTTGCGCGTAGGGGTCTTTAGCAGTGGGAGGAAACCGGAGGACCCGGGGGAAACCCACGAGGTTGGACGGGCGACCCTACTCCTTGTCATATAAAAGTAGGAGTAAGCAAATTACAACGTTAAATAGCTTTGAGGTCATGTGTTCAAATGACTTCCAGACTAGCCATCGGGTCAGTTGTTTTGATGATAATACAAACAAAAGTCATTTTAAGATAGATTTAACTTTCCAATTATCGATTTAAGATGAATACAATAAATAAAATCATTTCAAAATAACCGCCGATTATTATAATCACGTTCCTCACAACCAACAGATCAATCTGTTTCACAGAGGATTACGAAAGTCTTCTAATATCTCTGTAAAAGATGACTACCTTCAACACGTGACGTCTCATCACGCGACGTCAATCATTGGCTTAATGGCCGGTGCATTGTTTACATAAAACCTGACTGGTTCGGGCGGAATGGAGCCTTTTACTCATTTTAATACCCATTTACACTAAATAGGAAATAATTTTTACCTACAAATACGTCAAACGTTTTTATTTATTTTTCTAATACATAAAAAAAATCTTTTAGAATTTAATTTTTCGGGGGAGAAAGTTAATATTTGTGGCTCATTAAGTCGCATCGATGTCATCCTTATCAGTAATTGTCGCGGCCTAGCGAATATTCACTGCTGATCAGTGTGCCAACAGATCCATTGAAATTAGACGTTGGCGTTTGTTGATTTAGCCACAGTTTTGTACAATATAGCCCCCACT